ATGCATGCAGTTTGTTGTTTTGCTGCTAATACAGTAGCAGGTGCAACTGCTAATACAGTAGCAGGTGCAGCTGCTAATACAGTAGCAGGTGCAGCTGCTAATACAGTAGCAGGTGCAGCTGCTAATACAGTAGCAGGTGCAGCTGCTAATACAGTAGCAGGTGCAGCTGCTAATACAGTAGCAGGTGCAGCTGCATATTTGTGCAATAAAAATGTTATGTTGTAATGGAATTCATGCATTAGTTTTTGTTTGCTTTGAGCCCAGAGCAGACGTCACACGCCAGACGACATCAACACTGCATACTTTAGTATTTGTTCATTTATCATGAGTAATATCGATATCGCAATATTAAGCACTGTTATCGAATATCGCAGGTTTTCCTAATATCGTGCAGCCCTAATATGTATGTATATATATATATATATATATATATATATATATATATATATATATATATATATATATATATATATATATATATAATATTTTGAGTGCCCAGGTAGCACACGAACAATGCAATTTAACGACATTTCTTAAAGTAGGAACATTTAACCTGTGGCCAGAAGTACGCTCTCTCCTTCCTTCTGCTCCGATGTAAACCTGAACTGGTCACCTGCTTGAGCGTAATCAAAGGTCTCTAATGGGGCTTTCTGAAGAGCCTGGAGTCATGAAGAAGTTCTGGATTTTGCCTCAGACAGGCTCCTGGCTGTTCTGGCCGAATCTGCGCTCCTCTGTCACACGGACTAACAAGCAATCCTGGGGTGGGGTCCATAACTGGGGAGATTGCTGTGTATTTATGATCCCTAAATAGAAGCTTCTATTTTAATTTTGTGAAATGTTGTTTTAAAATCACTGCTTTAATCACGGAGTAGGCTAGCCAAAGCTTATCTCTGCATCCACCACCTGCTTAAATGTTCTGACGGTGCCATGGGCGGCTACAGGAAATTTCACCAGCAGTTGCTGTACAGTTGCTCGGTCAGTGTTTGGGGTTGCTGTCTGAGGTTGATTAGTCGATGGGATCAATGAAAAAGAACGTTTGTCACGGACTCCATGGAAACGTTAAGAGAATTTACAAAAAGTGGCTTTCAATCGGTTTTGTGAGTTTAGAAAAGCAGCAGATGAGACGGCGTGTCCGACAATTTTGTTTTTCATCTGACAACATTAGAACATGTTTGTAATGTCTGAGGTGTTTTTACAATCAATGTTTACTTAATACTCCTGGAGAGGGTATGGATTACACAGAGGCTTGTGGGGGAGCCCAGTTATAGGGGTGGGGGGTGTTCTGTTTGGCCTTGGCCCCCAAAATGCCTTGAAACGGCCCTGGCTGTGTGACTGAATTGTATCAGATGTATAAATACTACATGTGTATAACTTATTGCTTTATACAGGTAAAAACGTGTAGTGGAGATAAATCTATCTACATTTTACTTTTCAACACTTTGTTTTGTTTTCTTGTTTTTATTGAACTATTTCCTGTCCTGTCTGTCTCTCATCTTCCTGCATCTCCTCTAAACTCTCCAGAAAAACTGCTGCCTGGATTCTTACTTTTTCACTTCATCAGTTACTTCTGAGCAGATCAAAGGGATCTCCTGACCGTAAAGCGGAGAGCGCGTTTCAATGCTGCGTCAGTGAGGTGAAATCAGCGCAGCACACGATGAGCGACTGTGTCAGACACGATTAAAAGACAGTACCAGAGGATATAAACGGACATGATTGGCCATGTGTTATTTATAGTTTTTTGGTTGCGCCACTTTGACAATGTGCCGTGTGCAGAACGCAGCTGCCTGGAGCGCACCAACGCTCCCCAATAACTTGATCCCTGCTTCTGGATGAAAAACCAGACATTATTGTGGAAGACAGAAGACCCAGGGCAGGTGGTTCAGCGGAGTGTCGACGAACAGCATTCAGTCGGGGATTAGAGGTTGAGGTCCTGGGGGGGGGGGGTTGCTTCTTCTGGGCTACAGGCTCCTGCTGGATGTCATCAGATGGTTGAGTGGAAGGAGGAAGCCTGGAGGTATCAGCTGGTTGTTCCCCAGCAAGTGGAGAGAAGAGGCTTGAAAGACTGAGGTCAGGTGGGGGGATGGGATCAACATCAGGCGCTCTCCTACGGCCACGTACCACAACCTCAGACCAAGATGAAAAATGGGTCAGGAGTAGAGCTGGAAGTCGGTTGTCGTGGTGCAGAAGGATCCCAGGCAACAGTGTCTTGGAGTAAAGAGTTCTGCTTGGATGTTTCTTTTTCAAACTGACTGACTATGGTCTCGGTCAGTGAAGAGAGACGAGATCTACAACTAACCAGCAGCCTTTCCTTCTTTTGCAGTTCAGCAGAGAGTCGTCGTACATCCTCTTTAAGGTTCTGAATCCTTTTATTTGCTTTAGAAAGCATAAACCCATCATTGTGGGGCAGGAGGAGGAGGAGGACAGACATTCAAAATAAAGTCAAGGTTGCAGAAAGCTTACACTTGAGCTGAGCTGCCTATGTGGGATCCGAAATATTTGTATTCCAAATAAAGATCCAAGTAGTCAAAGAATCCCGAAAAATCACGGGAAACAAAGATCCAACAAAGGCCACAGAATCCAGAAATCGGTGACGGGAAAAACAGGTTTTAAGAGGAATTAGAGCACAAAAGTACGGCGCTGCCGGAGGTGGGAGTTGAAGACCGTCTTGACAGGTTCTTCTGCCAGGCGTTCCCAGCAGACCCTCACTATGCGTTTGGGTCTGCCAGGTCTACGCGGCATGTTCCCTTGCCATCTGATCCAACTCACCATCAGGTGGTGATCAGTTGACAGCTCCGCCCCTCTCTTCACTCGGGTGTCCAAAACATACGGCCGCAGGTCAGATGATACGACTACAAAATCTATCATCGACCTGTGACCTAGGCTGCCCTGGTACCAAGTGTACCGGTGGGCATCCTTATGTTCGAACATGGTGTTCGTTATGGCCAAACTGCGGCTTGCACAGAAGTCCAATAACAAAACACCGCTCGAGTTCAGATCAGGTGGGCCGTTCCTCCCAATCACACCCCTCCAGGTCATGCTGTCATTGCCCACGTGAGCATTGAAGTCCCCCAGCAGGACAATGGAGTCCCCTGATGGAGCACTATCTAGCACTCGTCCCAGGGACTCCAAAAAGGGTGGGTACTCTGAACTGATATTTGGCCCATAAGCACAAACAACAGTCAGGACCCGTTCCCCGACCCGAAGGCGCAAGGAAGCTACCCTCTTGTCCCCCGGGGTAAACCCCAACACACAGGCAGAGAGTCTCGGGGCTAACAAAAAGCCAACCCCAGCCCTCCGCCTCTCACCCGGAGCAACTCCAGCAAAGTAGAGTGTCCAACCCCTCTCCAGGTCTCGGGTTCCAGAGCCAATGCAATGTGTCGAGGTGAGTCCGACTATATCTGGCCGGTACCGCTCAACCTCTGCCACAAGCTCCGGCTCCTTCCCCGCCAGCGAGGTGACGTTCCATGTCCCAAAAACTAGTTTTCTTGTCCGGGGATTGGACCGCCAAGGCTCCCGCCTTGGTCTGCCACCCGATTCGCATTGCACCGGACCCTTCATGTTCCTCCTGCGGGTGGTGGGTCCACAGTTGGATGAGCCCATGTATCCGGTTCGGGCTGGGCCCGGCCGGGCCCCATGGGCGAAAGCCCGGCCACCAGGCGCTCGCTCACGGGCCCCAACCCCAGGCCTGGCTCCAGGGTGGGACCCCGGTAACCCTCCGGGCCGGGTACTCCGACTCTTCGTTTTAACCACCATGAAAGATCCTTCGAACCGTTCTTTGTCTCACCCTTCACCTAAGACCAATTTGTCATGGGAGACCCTACCAGGGTCACTAAGTGCCCCAGACAACATAGCTCCTAGGATCATTAGGGCACTCAAACTCCTCCACCACGATAAGGTGACGGTTCAAGGAGGAAACCGGAAAAGGGTGGCTTGCCACCTCAGGGTCGGGGGAGAGGTCCTACCTCAAGTGGAGGAGTTTAAGTATCTCGGGGTCTTGTTCATGAGTGAGGGTAGGAGGGATTGGGAGATCGACAGGCGGATTGGTTCGGCGTCTGCAGTGATGCGGACGCTGAGCCGATCTGTCGTGGGGAAGAGGGAGCTGAGCCAGAAAGCCAGGCTCTCGATTTACCGGTCGATCTACGTCCCAATCCTCACCTATGGTCATGAGCTTTGGGTAATGACCGAAAGAACGAGATCGCGGATACAAGCGGCCGAAATGAGTTTCCTCCATAGGGTGGCCGGGCTCAGCCTTAGAGATAGGGTGAGGAGCTCGGACATTCGGGAGGGACTCGGAGTAGAACTGCTGCTCCTCCGGATCGAAAGGAGCCAGTTGAGGTGGTTTGGGCATCTGGTCAGGATGCCTCCTGGACGCCTCCCCGGGGAGGTGTTTCGGGCATGTCCTGCCGGCAGAAGGCCCCCGGGTCGACCCAGGACACGTTGGAGAGGTTACATCTCCAATCTGGTCCGGGAACGCCTTGGGGTCCTGCCGGAGGAGCTGGTGGACAAGGCCGGGGAGAGGACGGCCTGGAGCTCCCTGGTTGGGATGCTGCCCCCGCGACCCGGACCCGGATAAGCGGAGGAAGACGACGACGACGACGACGAGTACGGCGCTGAAGTAAACACGTCTGCCATGTCTGCACGTACAATTAATAGGGGCGTGGCCTTTTTACTGACAGGTTTCAGATGAGTCATGGCGCTAGAAGCTTGCCCCCTGCTCAGCCTCAACCTCAGGTTACAAGCGTTACAACTTCAGTTAGCTCAGTTAGCTTGTAGCTACATCAGCTCAGAGTTTTTTGGGTGCCAATCATCTGCCCCCATCCTCACAGCCCCACTCTCAGCTCCATTTTTGTATTTTCTGGCAGTGGCAACGTGTGATGCATCCAAGATGTGTGAACCACACACTTGGCTTAAATTCAGCGCTTCAGAAGCCTACGGGTGACGGTACGAACGGTTCCCCCATTATAGACACAGTCTATGGTTTCCACCCTTGAGGTTCTTACCAGTTCTCATTGTTGATCTGGTCTCCAAATCCTGGAGTATCGATTACTGTCAGCTTCATCTTCACCCCTTTTTCTTCGATCACTGGAGACAACAACAAATTAAAGACGTGAGTTTTCTGTTAATGCACAGGAGAGCTCAACCCTTCTATCCACGATAATCCATTCACAACACCAGTCATCTCAAGACAGTTTTGCAAGAAAGCACTACGGTTGAGCATGCACCATAAATTGAGTTAGGTGAGCGTTTAAAAGCCATAAAGTTTATAGGCATCAGGCAAAGCTCCTCGATCTAACACTGCCACAAGACTGCAGAGATGGCAAACCAACCCTAACCCACCCCGGGACATACCTACACCCCAAAGCCCTATGTGTGTGTGTGTGTGTTAATGTGATGGAGAAGGAGGAGAAAAATATCTGGAGATGTTGACGAAAGACTGGGGGGGGCAAGCCCTCCTAGGAAACCTGTTTCTGACACCAAAAGACACCCTTGTTCTCCAAATCCACACAGGGCAGGAAGACCCCAGCCCATCTACCCAGGGCCCACGACAGCACCACCACAGAGCCTGGGGAGTACGACTGGGGTGGTACATCTGTCAAACGCTAACGCCAACGAGCTCACGGAGGACAGAAACCTTCCATGGAGCAGAAGGGCAAAAGATCGCTTGACCTTGAACACAGACTGTGAAAGGGGGCCTCACGATCCTTCTGACTTTTTGGGTTTTAAGCAGGAGGTGTCAAAAAGTTACCATGGGCACAACTGGCTTGTGGCGGCCAAGGGTTCATTTGTTTCTTTTTGATCCTTGGATATCGGCTCTTCCTATCATCGTGAGGGAACATATATGGCTGTTGTAATCCCCAACTGTAAAACTGTACTGAACAAATATTTAGAAAAATCTGGTTTCTCCATTACGGCCTCATGGAGCCAGAGGACGCCTACCTAGCCCCGTCCCAGCAGAATATCTACTTCCACACCCACATTTGGTAAAGATCCAGACGACATAAGATATTCAGTATTTTTGTCAGTCTTCCCAAGTACTTTCCATTGAGATTTGCAGATATCAGAAGGTTATTTTGGATGAATGAGAGATTTATTTTTAGCTAAAGTTTTCTAGCATACAGAACGAAAATGGAAATATTCTTCTGTTGATGTCAGAGACAACGTTTCTCTAAGTTAACCCACTAAACATGGCTTCTTTAAGAAAGCAAAGCAGATATTTTTATCCACAAACTGAGTGAGCTCAACAGAGATTAGACACATCCTCCACAGTGTGGAAGCAGATCCGAGTCCATGTTTGAATTTCACATCAGGAGATGAGCAGTGAAAGGAAACGTGATCTGAAAGCAGGATGTGAAAGTTGTCTCTGAGTGTGTGTGTGTGTGTGTGTGTGTGTGTGTGTGTGTGTGTGTGTGTGTGTGTGTGTGTGTGTGTGTGTGTGTGTGTGTGTGTGTGTGTGTGTGTGTGTGTGTGTGTGTGTGTGTGTGTGTGTGTGTGGGCCCACCATGACTAATACTGTGCAGTTTGACTGTTTTAGTTATCTTCTCCTCATAGTTGGATGAGCAGGACTTTCGACTGACTTTTGACTTGAACAGAGTGTTGACCAGTGTGGATTTTCCCAAGCCGCTCTGACCTGCACACAAAAAGCATTATTTATTATTAACTTAAGGAACTGCTTGGTCCGACAAGCTGAAGACTCCAGAGTTTAAGGCATGACGAGACTGACAGACATGACAGAAAACTCCTCAGAATTCTGTCTCCGGGTTCTGCCCACAGGCAGAATAAGCAGGTCATCTGTTTTCATAAACTAGAAGTAATGACATTGCATGGATTCTGAACAACAGCGGAAGTGGATGTGATCTGAAGCAGGAAATAGCAGACAGACCCGACTCTAAACCACTTCCTCCCTCAGTCACAGTTCCTCTATTAAAATGAAAACCCAAGGCTAAGCTAAATACCAAACATGTTCAGCTCTGAGTTACGATGTCAAGTTTCAGATCATAGAAGAAGACAATAGATGTACCTTCTTTTTTTATCACATTTTTTATTTTAATTTTTCCCTTTTCCTCCCATTTTTATTATGATCTCTGATTTATTTTTCTATTGCTCTTGTGAAGCGCTCCTTGATTTTTACCTTGAGGCTCAATATAAAAATATTTGTTGTAAGTTCTATTTTTGTCAACAAGCTGAGCCCACACAGAATCTCTCTCTAACACACACACACACACACACACACACACACACACACACACACACACACACACACACACACACACACATTGTAGTACTCCTTTTCAGCTCCGGGAGGTATTCCAGAAAGCGAGATTTGAACAGCGGGGATCTCCTGATAAATCCCTGCTTCCAGGCTTCGCCAGCTCCATGAACGATTCTCAGGTGGATTCAATCCCCTCTAATTAAGCAAGGAGCGGGAAGCGAGGCTCACGTGCATCCATAGGCAGACCCTCTTACAGTTTTTTACAGACGTTAGGACCCATTACTCAATACCTAGGTCACATTTGCAAAACTCTACATACAGTGTGCACAACAGAAGTCTATGTGGGCCAAACTGAGGATCAGTTATCATTGCTTTGGCACAAAATGCATTGAGTGACTACATCTCTCAAATGTCATGAAGTCCCTTCTCACTCAGACACAACTGCCAAAACTCATTGTACTAACAGGACATTTTGCACTTGCTTACATACTGTTCACAAAACTGTAAAACTTATGTTCAAAACAATAACATACTGCAAAACTGAATATGACAGCAAAATCCAACAGCAATGTGTTCTTGAAACATAAATGCAGTTTAACCAGCCACAGCTGACTCTAACTGTAGCTGCTAGGGTTGTCACGATACTAAAATTTCAAACTTGATTCGATACTTGAAACAAAACTCGATACTCGATTTCGATACTATTTAAAAACACCAATTTATTGAACAAGTTTATTCAAAAAATAACATTCCTCAATTTATATTACAAAAATTAAATGTTAAGAATTAAGTGTATAAAGTGCTTAAACCTTTCAAGTATCAGCATTTTTTAAAACGTGCATACAAAAACTGGCAAAAGTTAACACTTTAAATCATGAATTGTCTCACTATATATATACACTATTTGCAGAGTGATGTTTTGCTGCTTAAACTCTGTTTAAGGTGCATTTTTGTCATAAGATGTAATGCCATATGTTTTGTTCTGTACTTTTGAACAACTCTGTTGGTCAATAAAGGGAGAAAACGAATTTATCCACAGTAGGACAAAGGTACATCTACCGGTAATCTTAATAAAAACAGATTGGCGCACGGCAGTGACGTCATTAAAAGCACCGGTTAGATTAGCCGCGGCTAGTCTGTTTATGCCTAGAAATCCCAGACCCGCTCCAAACGAACAGGAGAATCATGTTAATGATTCCTAACAAAACCTTTCGACATAGAGATGTTTTGGTGCAGATAATGTCTTATTTCGAGGCTGCACCATGGGTGCCCGTCCGCACCCGTTATATGGATATAACTGACGGCGATTCGCCGATGGATCTAAATACCCCGGGGAATCCAAGTAGCACCAAAGTTGTCAGCGTGAGTAAACAAACGTACTGCATGCTAGAAATTAAGTCCGGGTTGCAATAAACGGCAGTTTTCCTTTAAGCACATAAGCGTGAATATACAACTACGTGTCGGACTTGGTATGCTAATTAAGTTGGGCTGTGAAGCGCCTCCCAAATTCACTGTTTATGTTTTTGTTTATTTATTTGGCAGACAAAACTTGGATCAGAGACAACTCGCGTGGGAAATTGCAATGTAGCCATGCGGCGTCTTCTTCTTCTGTTTGTCTGGGAGGCGGAGGCTGCTTTACGGCATCTGGCTGTCGTGCGTGTCGGTGTACTTGAAGAAGGCTGTGTATAATAGTCCATAATATCGATACCACAGGGATGGAATATCTCATTTAGATACCACTTTTAGTATCGATTTATATCTAAGTATCGATTTTTTTGACAAAACAACTAGCTGCACAGGTGTTACACTTTCAATGTCGTTATAAAAGTAGTCAATGCCAACATATATAATTGTATGGGACAATGTGGCATTTCAGGGCTCCCATGCAGTCACAGAGTGGTTTGTGGCCCATCCCAGAATGGAGTCACTTTTCCTCCCACCTTACTCTCCATTCCTCAACCCGATAGAGGAATTCTTTGCCTCATGGCGGTGGAAGGTGTACGACCATCATCCACATGATCAAATGTCCCTTCTGGATGCAATGTCTGCTGGATGCCTGGACATACCAGCAGTAGACTGCCAGGGATGGATCAGGCATGCCAGAAGATTCTTTCCTAGGTGTGTTGCCCTAGATGACATAAGATGTGATGTGGATGAGAACCTGTGGCCAAATGGAGAAGACCGAGTAGATTAGCATATTGAATCTGTATCAGTGGATGTCTTGTGTTTTGGAAGTACTTAGTGCAAAAACAAATACCATTAAAAATAAATGAACAGCATGAAATATTGACTAATTCTGCATCATGTCTGATTCATTCCAGTAACATCTATTGGAAGTATGAACAGAGATGTGTCCTTGTTTTACACAAGAAAATGTAATGCTACATGTTGTAAGTGTTTTTAGGTCTTTGTTTTGTGGATGTCAAAGTGTGTGTGTCGGCTGTCAACCTTTGCTAGTGTTCTGGAGGAATGTGTTTATTTGAGAGCTGAATGAAGTGTTTTGGTGGTTGTAGTGCATTTTGAATGTGAAATGAACTGTTTTGCCAAGCTGAAACTCAGTTAGGAGAACTGTGTGAAGTGTCAAGCAAAAGTGACATTAGTATTGAGAAATGGGTCCTAACGTCTGTAAAAAACTGTAATCGATGCTAGATAAATGAGAATGGAAGGAGAGGACAGAGCATCATTCTTCATCTAGACGGACCAATAATCGTGGTGAGTCGTGGTGGATGGCTGCTTATACTTATCCATCGAACGAGGCAGAGAGATTCAAGCTTGTGATTGGTCAGGATGCCGCTTTCGTCAACTGCACCGCCATTGCGCCCTCAAAAACATAAAGTGTGTTTCCCAATCTCAAAGAACCTCCCCTTGATGTCTTGGTCCTGTCCTAGTTGCCTAGGAGATACGTCACCAGGAACCGCCAAGGCGTGTTCCAACGTTCATGTGCTACCAAGGCGTCTGAGGCACATGCGAGGTGTTTTGTTGCCTTCTCTTGGTGAAAAATGTCCAAAATACAGCGCGGTATTTTTGAAAAAGGTTGGTGGATCGGGGCCAGCAGCTACTTCAGAGGCAAATTTCAAGTTTTAGTGTGAGTCAACTAATTGTAGCTATCGGGCTGATACCTAAAATGATTTTAGATCCAAATAACCAATCTATGATTGGTTAGTTGCTTAGGAGTTGCAGCTTAGGTGGCTAGCAGGTAGTAACTTGCTTTTAATTTAACCAATATATACACAATTACAAAAGTAAAAGGCTCGTTATACAGTTATATTGAAACTTATACAAATGAAATATAGCTTTACCTCATGTGACCTGACCGCCGCGGGCGCCGCTGTAAAGTACGTCTGTTCCATTTAACCATTTCTTACACATTTGTCCTGTACCAGAATGTTTCACCTATTTTGTAATTTGAATTGCTTTTATTTTTGATTTATTCAATATATTTACCTTCAACTGAACCATGTTCAGCGCTTTGGGCTTCCTGACAGGGTTGCGGAAGGCACTTTATAAACAAAGCTTTGATTTGATTGATTGATTGATTTTCTTTGACCAAGGAAGGACAGTGTCCCGGTAAACAAGGCACCTGGCATGACATTGTGCTTTGACATTTAGAAACACCCAAAGAAAGTCGAAGATACCTAGCGACAGACACCGCGTTCGTCAACACCAGCCCGTTACTGATGGACATGCTGTCCAACTAAACCAACAACATACTCTCTCACTTAACAGTGGCGCTGTTGTGGGCTCTTCTCCCATCCATGAGCGTTGATGGTAGACAATCTGTCCTCACGCTGCCGCGGCTGGAGTGGCCGGTCCAAATTGACTGATAATGAGTCGTGCATGTGGGAAGCTGCTGCTGGCTGATTCTACCCGCTAATTCTGGCGCTCCCACTAATTGGTGGGCGTGAACTTCAGCCAGCCAATCAGTCCATAGGCGAGTTTGTTGGGTCAATTCAGCACGAGATGGAAAGCGAAGAAGCAGGGCCGAAAAAAAAGTCGTGGCTTCACATGAATAACACCAGCGTAAGCACAATTACCCTGCCAGGGCCTGACCAAGCTGACCCGAGCGTAGATGTGGCTTTATAGAGCCAGCAGGGAGGGGGAATGCTTGCATTACTGAGGCTCCAGGGCACATTCTGGACTCTTATCTGTGGAATTCTCTCCTGCTTTTAGAAAAGTCGGAACATTTACGTCACACCCTGCTGAGGTCCCTGAGAGTGGAAAATTAACAAAGTATAAATACTGTTTCAGCTGTTACAGTGTCTATACGGCTAACTCACCGACCACCATGATGTTAAATTCAAAGCCAGCCTTCATGGTCTTGCGTCTCATCTGGTCCAGTACATCCTCGATGCCCACATAACCAAAGAGATCAGAACCCCGGATGAAGCTTGTCTGAGAGTCTGAATCAGATGGTCGAAGTTCCGCCTTCACCTCTGCCTCCAGCTCAGCATCCTTCCCTGTCTCCATTCCCTTCTCTTTCTCCTCCTCTTCTGTACATCCTTCCATACAGTTCTCCTCTGATTCAAACGTTTGGATCTTCTCATGTCCAAGGTTTTTGCCTCCATCATCTTGCTCTTCTCCCATGATGCCTCTCTCCTTCTCTTCTGACTCCTCCATTGGGATGAATGGGTCTGTCTGCAGCCTTCCAGCAGGTTCTGAAGGAACACAGATAGTGAAATACATTTCTGATGTACATCAAAACAGACGAACAGAAAACACGAGAGGAGTTAATTAAGCTATCAAGAAACATGAAGCTTCTTCTAGACAGGGGTGTCAAACTTTGGTGTTGAGGGCAGCTGTTGGTAACTTCCACCAACAAACCTGAACAGTGGCTGAATTACAAATCACATTCCAACAGTATGAAACAGTTGTGAACATTTAGTTTCACAATCACTCTGGTAACTGACAAACCCCTCCACAGGAGAAGTCAGATGAGCAGAAAAACAATTGTGTTTTATTCACCAATCTTAAAGCAGGTCAGAAAATCGCATTAAGAACAACCTTCTGTCTGTTTTCAGCATGAGAACTTTTCTCACAAGGCATTCATTCATACCAGCAACCATATCATACCAGCAGATTTATTGAAATAATACAACTGTCTTTCAGTCATCTCAAAGTTTTATCCTCACAGGGCAATCAAACGCTCACACATAACAAAGACTGGTCTCAAGGTTGAGAGCATGCTCATGTGCACACCAGCACAGGAGTTAGCGTAATGCAGCCTAGCTGGACTGTGTCTGCTGTGTGAGGTAAGAGGATTGGAGGGTAATCACAACCTCCTTTAGTGCTTTTAGCTGTCTGTGTGTCCTCACACACACAACACACCCCTCCGTCATGACTGACATGTTGGTCTACTTCTCATGTGACTCACTCAGCAGAAAGGAATAGGTTCCAGCTAGGAGACGGGGGTGTTGAGAAGTGTACACTCCTCCATTAGTGGTGGTGGATGTACCTCCTCTTGATCCAACTGGGAAATGGACTGATTATGACACAAAATAATTCCCAGTAGCTTGAGAGGTAAAATTTCAAAGTACCAGTACCAGCCCACTTAAAGCCCTGTATCATGCTACAAATATTAGCTTGAAACTCACACAGTGGGAATTATGAGAGGAAGGAAGGCTGGATGAGTTATCTCTGTAGTTATGCTGCTATATATGATTTGTGATAATCAGATCTCTTTGCTCTCTCTCACAGAATCCTGGCTGCAGCAAGAGGACTTTGTTAGTTTAACCGAGTCGTCTCCTCTTAATTATTTAAATCATCACATTGCTCGAAGTACAGGGCGAGGAGGAGGAGTCGCAACCATTTTTCATTCAGACCTATTAATCAATCCCTTACCCATTAGTTACAGTTCTTTTGAGCTGGTGACAAGTCTTACAGATTTACTCTCAGGTGGAGCAACAAACCTGCTGCTTTAATGTCACGCCTGATACTTAAAACTTTATTGCTATTGTTTTTTGAATGATTTGTAATTCCAACCAGACACAAAGACAGAGGTGAAAGAGAAAGGAAGAGATGGGGGGGGGGGGGGGGGGGGGTTCCCACAAAAACAAACAATCAATGATGAATAAGAGTCTGCTTCTAGACCTGCAGAAAGAGAAAGACAAACAAAAACAAACAGGACACAAAACAATACAACAAGAGCAAGCTATCACTGCATCAACCTGATGAGGAAATATAAAATCAACATTGTTTTCCAGAACAATCACACAATAATAAATCATGGTTCATTTAGTGTCAACCACAGCCTTAAGACATTCTTAGTTTTCTTAATCCAGATTGCAAAACTATAAAACCACTCTTGTTTGTAGTTTTATATCATCCACCAGGCCCTTACTCCGAGTTTTTGGATCAGATCTCTGATTTTTATCTGATTTGGTGCTGAATACTGATAAGGTCATTGTAGAGGGGGGTTTTAACATTCATGTGGACATTGAAAATGATAGCCTCAATGTAGCCTTTAGTAATATCTTGGACTCAATTGGTTTTACCCAAAGAATACATAGCTCCACCCACTCCTGCCATCATACATTAGACCTTGCGCTGACTTATGGGCATAGAGCAGGGGTCGGGAACCTTGTTGGCTGAGAGAGCCATGAAAGCCAAATATTTTGAAATGTATTTCCCTGAGAGCCAAATATATATATATATATATATATATATATATATATATATATATATCTATATTATTTTTTTTAAACACTGAATACATCTAAATGTGTGCAATTTTAAATAAGACCAAGATTTTCTCATCACCTCCAGCTCATTGACACCAAAAGTGCCCTTTTTCGTCACTTATGTACGAAAAGGGGATTTTCTCCTTTCTGACTGCAGATCCCAATGCAGCATAAAACAGACGCGATGGGATGTCCGCAGCCAGGGCACCAAACGAACTCACTGTACCACACCCGAACCTTATCCTCTTGTTATTTAACCTTCCCCTCACCACTATCCCAACCTAAACCATCTTGCTAGCTAACACGTTACCTTTACAGTGACCAAGCGTTTGCTTTCCGTATAAAATTAGCTGGGTTTGGACCGAGGCGATGCGAGGGGGAGGTTTCAACTACCAAGGTGCAGGTTAGAAGTAGAGGGTATTTGTAACCTCCCCCTCACCAGATGGTATGTTCTAACATTCCCCTTCCGAAAATTCACAGTCAGAATGCATGGAAAACAAACGCTTGGTCACTGTGAGAGTACCGTTTTAGGTAGCAAGAGTGTTAAGGTTAGGATGAGGGTGGGGGGGAAGGTTATGAATAGCAAAATGTTAAGGTTTAGGTGCGGTTAAATGAGCTGGTTTGGTGCCGCAGCAGCGGACATCCCACCGTGTCAGTTTTTTGCTGCATTAGGATCTGCAGTCAGAAAGGAGAAAAACCCCTTTTCGTACATAAGTGACAAAAAAGGGCACTTTCGTTGTCAAGGGTTTGACGCGGAGGGTGGCTGACCAAGCGTTTGTTTTTGACGCGCTGGGAGTGACAATGTGTTGCTTAAACAGGTGCGGTAGAAAATGGATGGATGTTAAAATGTATGAGAATGTTTTTTATATTTAACACTGTGGTTTCTGTGAATTATCTGAGAGCCATATGCCATCATCAAAAGAGCCACACACGGCTCGCTAGCCAAAGGTTCCCTACCCCTGGCATAGAGTGTGAGGAAATAACAATATTTCCACAAAATCCAGTCCTCTCGGATCACTTTTTGATAACCTCTGAGTTTTGTATAACTGAGTTCTCGAGACATGAAAGTAAATTTCACTATAGTTGGTCTCTATCTGACAACGCTGTTGCATCTTTTAAATCAACTGTTCCATCTTTACTGTCCTAGGCATCTCAGAGGAACGTGGCAGAGGGCAATATTTTACTTTCTAGCCCTTCACAAATTGATGACTTAGTTCATAATGTTACTTCTTCTTTACAAGTGGCATTACATGATGGTGCCCCTTTAAAAAAGATGGTAATAAAGCACAGGAAGTTGGCTCCCGGGTTTAATTCTAATTTACGAACTTTAAAACAAAACTCTAGAAAATTGGAGAGAACATGGTGCTTTACACATCAGGAAGAGTCCTACTTATCCTGGAAAAATAGTTTTGTGCTTTACAAAAATAAGCTTTGACAAGCTAGAACTACTTATTTTTCATCGCTAATTGGGGAGAATAAGGATTTTCCAAAATTTATTTTCAGTACATTTGCCAAACTTACACAGAATCACAGCTCTGAGCCATCTATTCCCTTAGCCCTCAGCAGCAACGACTTTATGGGATTTTTCACAAGTAAAATTAATTCTATTAGAAACAAAGTCTTTAATTTTTCTCCCTAACACGATTTCTTCTTCCTCAGTGAGACAGCATCAGAGGTAACTGTAGAACCTCATCTGTGTTTGAACCGTTTTGATCCAGTTGAGCTTTCAGAGATATCAAAAATATTAGCTTCATCTAAACCGTCAACTTGCATTTTAGATTCAATCCCAACCAAATTATTTAAAGATGCATTTCCTTTGGTTACTGCCCCCATTCTAGATAATCAATCTATCCTTAGTTAATCTATAGGCTTAGGCTGCTGGAGGATACACTGACCACTTTTCACACTCGACTACTTTCTTCTACAATCTGCTCTTTAACTGTATTATTTCCTGCTATTTCAGCTGTTAGCTTTATTTTTCTCTAAGCGTTTTTCTCCCCAGAAGAAGCTACAACGATGTTCTGCTGAGCTGTGGTGGCCTCATGGAGGGGGCCATCGGCTAGCACACTGCTGCTAATCACTTAAACATTCTCTCTCTCCAGATAATAACACTTTAACAACTTTGACATTGAATGTGAGGGGCTGCGCAGTTGCACAGTGGTTAGAGCTGTTGCCTTGCAGCGAGAAGGTCCTGTGTTTGATTCCCGGCCTGGGATCTTTCTGCATGGAGTTTGCATGTTCTCTCTGTGCATGCGTGGGTTCTCTCCGGGTACTCCGGCTTCCTCCCACAGTCCAAAAACATTAGGTTGATTGATCTGTCTAAATTGTCCTTAGGTGTGAGTGTGTGTTTCACAGAGTGATGTTGCACTAATGTTTTATTTTATACTTGCATGTTTTACTTGTTTTTATTCGGATGCGCACATTTTTATTGGTTATGTTTTTTGCTTATTCTTATGTGCATGTTTTTATTGTGTTTTGAGTTGTGGTACAACATTGTGTGTGTTTTCTGTGTTAATCACCCCAATCACCTTCACCTGCGGCAGTGTTGCCTGGACTGCCAATTAATGGACAGACGCAGGCAGCACAGGTGATTTAAAGGGAGGAACAGAGGGGACAGAGAGAGTGAGCGAGGATGGCAGACGGGACGAGATAAGGGGCAGAGACGCACCTCGGGACGGCGTCCCGAGTGAGGACCACATGTGCCAGGACACCCCCCTGCCGGAACAGAGGAGCACCCGGAGTACGGTCCCGGATGAGGGACGGCGGCCGAGTGTGGAGGAGCGTGGGTGTCCCTCCCTCCACACATGAGCGGCGCACGTACGGGTGCCGCTGGGTCCGGTTGGAGTCTTGGACCGAGGAGGGGGTTCACCAGCGGAGCGGACAGCGAGCAGCAGCGGAGAGCGAGATTCGTGGTGGAGAAGCCAGGGCACGGAGCGCAACACGGCAGGCGGGCAGTGTTACTCTGCCCCTGCGCGTAA